CCCCTCACCCCCTTTTCCCCTCCCTTCCCCTCACCCTTTTTCCCCTCCCTTCCCCTCCACCCCCTTTTCCCCTCCCTTCCCCTCTCACGCCCACAGTGTCCCCTCCTCAGCGACCCCGGTTGACCGTTGATGGGCGTCGGATCGTGGATGCGGCTAAATGAGTCTGTCTACTGTTTAACCTTGATGCCCCCTTCACACTGCCTATTTTTATCTCGGCGTGGATGGGTATGGATACATGCGACGGACGTGGTCGCCCTGCGGGGCGGCTCGTTAGCAACGATATCGGGAGTGCTCCATCGCACTACCGGCGCGGAGCGGTGGGATCCTGGTGGCGCTAGGGTGAGGGGAGAAGGGGCAGAGGGTTGGGAGGAGGAGGGAGAGGACCGAGGACCTTGGCGGTAAAGTCGCTGGGGAGAGGGTTGATGTTGCGGTGTCTCCGTCGGCCGGTTTCCGTGTTTAAATGCCTATTTGTGATGTTCTAGTTCTTTCACGTTTTCTGCATTGGCATTCTTCGCTTCTTTACTCTCTCTTCCCTTTTTTCTCTATTGGATGTTTCATTAGCCCCTCTTTCCTCTTCCTCTCTATCTCTCGCATTTCTCTCTCTCTCTCTCTCTCTCTCTCTCTCTCTCTCTCTCTCTCTCTCTCTCTCTCTCTCTCTCTCTCTCTCTCTCTCTCTCTCTCTCTCTCTCTCTCTCCTCTCTCCTTCTTCTCTCTTTTCCTTTCCTCCTCCCTCTCCCTCTCCCTCACCCTCTCCCTTTTCCTGACCTCTCTCTCTCCCTCTCTTTCTCTTCTTCTACCCCCCCCCCCCTCTCTCTCTCTCTCTCTCATTTCCCCCGCCTTCTCTGTATGAGACAGACGCACATACGCAGAACAAACACCGGGGTAGAGAAGCAAAGGGAATCCCCCTAGTGACAAGTACTCTGAGCGAAGACTGAACAGAACAACAGCAACAGGTGAACGCTGAACTTCCCGTCAGCGCGCAACAAATGTCAGGCATGAAACTTTCAGAGAAGCTTCTCCGTGCCTCTGAAGTTAAGCGAGAGGAGGCGAAATAAGAAAGGATATTGGAACCGAGATCTAACAGTTTATATCTGAACTGCGTGTTGATTTTATTCCGTTCTTGTCTACCGGGTATTACTACTTTGTGTCTGTCTTTCGGAGTGCTAGTTATAATGGTTTCCTAGACGTTGTGGAACCAAGTTACGAAAAGAGAAGAAAATATTGGACTAGAGAAGATCAGAAGACTTTAAAACATGACAGAAACAAGTTTAGAAGTGAAATGAATTTCACTTAAACCCGACTGAAGCCTAATTAAAAGATAAAACCGATGGAAAGTCTACAGAAGTAATCCAGAATTTTGGTTTAAACCTGAAACAAGTTACTTTCTGCTTCCCAAAACTTAACGAAAGAAGAGCAGAGAAAGGAAATACCAGCCACTTATACAACAAAAGTAACAACGATACACAGCAGGGAAGAAGCCATAGAACGCATAAAAGAAGTAGAAATGCCAAAGGAAAAAATGTCAAAGAAACGTAAGTTCATTCGTATTTTGAGGTCTGTGGCTGGAAGACGGACTATGGTTGGAGTTTTCGAATGGAAAGGTAAGTTCATTCGTATTTTGAGGTCTGTGGCTGGAACGACCTATGGTTTGTGGCTGGAACGACCTATGGTTGGAGTTTCGATGTAATATTTGGTAGCTAGAACAGAAAAATAGATAAAGTGTTCCAAAATGTTAAAACACAATGTCGTTTTATTGTTTTCGTTAAGATTTACACACACACACACACACACACACACACACACACACACACACACACACACACACACACACACAACACACACACACACACACACACACACACACACACACAAACACACACACAAGTACATGCCTGCAAATATGCCCGTGTTTTATATAATACATATGTGCATGTATCCAAAACTTGATTTTGAAAAAGATGCCAAAATAAAAAAAGATAAACATGATGCTTCACAACCACAGGGTAGGTAATCAAAGCGTACCTTAGCTAGAAATATGTCCCGTTTTTTCATATTTCTAATTATCTTTTATGTTTTCATATCTATTTTCTTCTGTACCTGCTCGCCCGTGTAGCAAAATAAAAATGAATTATCTAGAAGAGGTGTTCTTATAAGTATTTGTATGTATATATGTATATATGTTTGTTTCTGTATATGTATATATGCATACGTACTTTCATATTCATAAACGCATGTGTTGATGAACGTTCATATATTTATTCATGTTTGTTTTGCTTTTAATTTCATACATTATATATGCATTTGAACTTTCCTCCATTTCATCATACACTTTATTCGTACATCATGCAGAAATGCACAGGTTAACTCAAGCTTTAGAATCACCCAGTTTACCTCAAAGCTCTAGAATCACACAGCTTAACTCAAGCTCTAGATGCACATAGCTTAACTCAAGCTCTAGAATCATACAGCTTAACTCAAGCTCTAGAATCACATAGCTTGA